TTATAGGTCTAAAAATTTAATCATTACCGTTTGTTATGGTTAGACGGTTGTAACGGTTAATGGCTATATTTCATTGTAATGCTTATTATATCACATTAAATCAGTGCAAGTAGGTATAAACTTCTAGTACAAGCTTTTGGGTCGATACGATTTTAAAGTGCAAAAAATGTATCTTGTAACCCGTCGTAGGTCCGCTCCAAAGATAAAAGCCTTACCAAACATGAAGATGAAAGCTAGAAGTTATAATAGAAATAACGAAAATTTGAATGGGATTGAAGAGAGTCTAACCTTTAACAAAGTCTATGAACTTGGTCACATCGGTTGAATTAGATCAATTGGACTCGAATTGATGTATGTTGTAGGAAAAACGCGCAAATGGGCAATGCCCTAAGATATAGATCTGTTGTTTGAACATATATTAGAAATGGAAGAGTTAATTTGTTACAATTAACTGTTATTTACTAGCTACACGCTGACTATCCTGTTAAAGCAGAACAGTTACTGCTGCAGGAGAAGGTTATTTGGCAAAACTTGTGAAAGTTATGGAATTAGCCTATAATTTAATTAGTTTAAAAAAATATATAAATATAAAATCTTTATTAATCACTTTTAAAGTATTTCAGTATGTTAATTTTTATTAAAAATCTAAAATGTTGAATAAAATTGATGATTACATCAATAATTTTGTCAGACACCTTATATCATTATTTTTGAATGACATTTGCGATCACTTTTGATCTTAAGAACTAATAACTAAACTCTAATGCGTTCATTTTATGTTAAATTTAAATTTAAATTGAATAAGAATTAGTGCTGATATGATATTTTAAAAGCTACAAATCTAAGTTAGATCTTTTTGATAGCGTAATTTTTAATTACATGCTATAATTACTTAATTAAATTGCAGGCTTCTTAAATGAACAATTCACAGCCTCACATTAATAACGCCAATTAGAAACGCATTTATTAAATTTGAAGCAAATCCGTTTTGCGTTGTTGTTGTTTGAGGTGAGGCAAGGTTAAGTCTCAGTGCAGGTAGTTGAAGCTTTGTGTTACAGTTGACACACTTGATACTATTTGACATATGCGTTTAATATCTAAACTCTGCGAACTTTGCGTTGATTAAATAAATAATTGCTTATGCTTCACCAAAAACGAGATAAGTTGTTTGATTACACAAAAAAAATGTTTCATTAAATAAATTGAAAAACCAACTTGCGTGTTACCTTGAGGCGGCAAAAACAAATTGAGCTCGATTTGAGCCACGTACTAAACACAGAACCCAGAGACCGACCGGAGGCCGTTTCGGGTATGCAAATTAAATGCAGCGGATACTTTACAAAAGTCAATCAATTGCGTGTGGCAAAAATCAAAAAAAAATCACATGCGTTGCATTTAAGTACATGCACAATAAAAAATTCATTAAATTCTTAACTTTTAAATTTCGTGAGAATTTGCATAAAATGTAGTTCAATGTTTGCAACAATAACAACACGTTAAGAACAAGAGCAATCAAGGATTTGTCAATGTTAATAACTAACTTTAACCTTAAACATTGAAAATCTTTTAATGAACATAATTAATTAGTTAATTTAGTGGCAAGTAGTGAGCAAAAACTAATTTAAACGGAATTAAGTCGTGCAGAGTTTCTGATTGCAAAACCAAATCTGTGAATTAATAAATGCAGAAGGAAATAATCAGTAAACTAATAATAATAATTAAAAATAAATAAATTAAATTCTTAATAGTATACAGAAAAAAAGTTTATATATATAATAAATTCCTAAGCATTTTTCAGTTCAACAGAAATAATGAAGCTTCTTAAAATACAATGTTTTTCCTTCAAAATCTTCTGTTGCATTTATTGTTGCAACCTGTTATGAAGTCTTGTCAGGCACAAAGTGTAACCAATTTACAGTTGCAATGTATGGAGAAAAAAATGTATCGGTACGAAGCGATAATAAACCTTTCATTTAACCTTATTAATATTTCCCCTGTTGCGATAGTTGTTTACGCATTTGAGATACTAAAAAAGTGATAAATCCATTTAATCATAATAAAGGGTTCTATCGTCGTGGGATTTCGTCGGACACATATTACAGAGATTTCTAAGATTTCTCAAAAAAAAACGGCATCAATGTGAATGACTGATAAGCTTCGATTAGTTTTGGTACCATTGATATTTCCTTCATTAAAATAATTACCCATAAATTCGAAAAACGAAGAAAGTAATCCATAAATGAAATATAATCAAATATTGTCGTAGGATCACGTTGAGCAGAAGGTGCCCTATGTATATGATAGCAGGCGCGGGCGTGTTGCGAAGCGAATTGTAATGCATTTCGAACTCGAAAAACAAACTGTGTCGGTTTAAAAATCATAATCCCCGTGTTTAAACTCATTGAGCACTTCTCTGTTACAATAGTTGTCATTGCATTTGAAGTACGAAGAAATATATTGGAAGAGAAAAACTTTACCATCAAGTGGTTCTATCGGACACAAGTTATCATAGTCTTAAGTCTGTTTAGATGAAGTTGCAATACCTACTATATGAGATATTTATGAAGAAACTGGATCGGTGTGAATGATTGAACATCTTCTAATGATCATCTTCGAAAAAAAAAGTTTATTTATATCTCCACATCTTTTTGATTGTTTAGTTTTATCAATAATAACGATATAAATTTAAAAAAAAAAAATTTAAATAAATAATTAAGGTTTTATAGGTATATGTCAATAAATAAATTTTTACATAAAGTTTAGTTGAGAGATTTCATATTATTTACAGAATGAGACATGCTAGTAACTGAACAGGGTATGTTGAACTAGACTGATACGACAAGGTTTCGTCAGATTAATTATGATGTAATCGATTTTAATATTAATCACATACGTATAGGTAAAAACAAAAAAAAGGTAAATGTAATACTTTTTAAAATTCAATCATTTTTAAATTTTATTTTAAGAAAAATGTATACAATTTTGTGGATTGGTGGTAAAAATACTGTGGATCCATAAATAGTAATATGGAATACTCAACATTGATTGAGGACGTAAGAGACAAGTTCCAGGATCTGTTGATAAACTTGACCTGTTCATAACAATATTTCATTTTCCTTTTTCGTAAGGAAAATGAAACAACACAGGTCATAACAATATAACAACAACAATATTCTATATAACCAAAAATTCTAAAATAGTATGCCAGCCTTATCACAGAATGGTTATAAAAAAAACTTTAATAAGCTACTTATAACGATCGATTAGCAAGAACTAGTTAGTTATTATTTGAGATTTCTCACTGGGCATTAGAAACTTAAAAAATATAAATAATTTAGGTTTGTAAATAAAAAATATTTTTAAAACTAATACCATACCTTAAACATTTAGGCATTCATTTAAAGCATTTCATACTTGTTTAACTCTAACCATATCGTTGCGATTTGTTTTATTATTTGAGACAATTGCAGAGTTCACAATAGAGGGTTTGGATGTAGTAGTGGCGTCAAAAAGCAAAAAAAAAAGGTTGAAAATCAGTTTGCAAACTAAGACCTTTAGCCATGCTTTCAGTTATTTGTCTACATTGTGTGGTTTAGCGAAATTCTCATTTTCATCGTCTGTATAAAGCAGTACATAGAAGATGAGTTGGTTACATTATTCAAAAGATCTTACACAACTTAAATCAACTTAAAGATCCAAAATGGACTTTTAAAGGAAAAAAGATTACGATTCCGATTTAAGTAGATTCTGACTTCGATTTAAATAAATTCCAAGTCTACTGCTTCATGACTCGAATCATGAAGCTATCTCGGATTTAATGGTTAAACCAAGACCAGAATCAATCGAGGTAGGTCTCCCGTTCGTATTTCTTAACAACGGCGCTGAGTTAATTCCGTACAAATGAACTTAAGACTGTGAACTTATGAAATCAAGGACAGTGATTGCAAATGTGAAATGTGATATTGACCATTAATAAGATAACTTCTTAGGAAATAAGGTGTTTAGGTCTTTCACAAAGATATACAGCACTGACACTTAATACATCCTGCGCTTTATTATATATAGTGTCTCAAAATAATTTACATTTAATTAACACTTAACGTCCCGTAAGTGCCCAAATAGTAAACTCACAAGGGACCGTGGGGTTTAATTAAGTTCATCATTTTAAATGACTGTCGTAGAAACTTAACTTAACCGAAATACAACAAAAACATCAACAAAATTATTACATCTATCGATTTTCTGTTTGAATTTAAAATTTCTGAGTATATGTTGATTTAATAAAAACATCAATTTTTTATACAAATTAACTGCGTTAAAATTAAAATTCATTTAAAAAAGTAAACTTTCAACAATAATTCATACATATTATGCAAGTAGGATCAGTTCGTAATAATCAAATAGTTTTATAGTTTAATTATTAAATACAAAACATGCTTCAAAACCTAATTGCAAACAAATAAATTTCACGCTTCGGGCTGGCAAAAGCCACTTTTAATTTAATTTTTTTCTGCATTTGTTGAAATGCAATGAAATTTTAATTACCACATAAAAAGCGCTAAAATTAAGTTAAATATTGCCATTGTGTTTGCTTATCCACATGAAAACACCGGATAGGTCTTTGCCTTTAACGCTTTCAGTTTGGATAACAATAACTTTCGAAAATAATGAAAAGGGAGGGACGGGGATTTGTTGTAAATAACAAGTAATTAAACAAACTGTTTCCTTGTAAAAGAATAGGTGAGCATTGACAAAATTGTTAAATATACTGACATTGATAATTCGTTGCAATAAATAAAAATTTTTACGGCAATAATTTCGAAACTACTTTATTGCCCATCTAGGGGAAAATATTTTTAATGACAAAAACAAAAGAAAAAAAAAATGGACATAACACTTAGAAAAAAATGTTTTTTTAAATGATATTTGATGTAGCAAATTGCAGATTAACCATTTAAGTCATAATTTAAAAGCATTCCAAATTGACTTATTTATGGTACTTACCCGGTAAACCAAGGACCGCGCGGTCCATATAGAAATCTCTTAGCAGTTTTCCATCTTTTTTTAATATGACTATTTTTGGTTTTTTGCTGTAGTGCAGACGCATTTAGGCGTGTCATCTCTTCTACTTGACGCACCTTCCATGGCATGACAATTTTTTGCTAAAAATTAGCTATGATTAGTATCACTTAAAACTAATTTGAAATTGATTGTCATGCATTAATTAATTAGAATTTAGTACATCCATTCAAAAGCGAACGTGAGATAATTTTTTTTTACCTGAAAGAGTCGCCGGTTTTCTGCTTGGAATGTGCCACGTTTTTTCGAAGCTGCTTTACAGGATTCATAGCACTCGGCCCAGTAACGATTAATTGGTTCCCATAAGTTGAGTTCGGTCTCACGCTGATAGGTGTCATATATTGGCTTTATCTGCAATTAAAAGTTAATATATTTTAATGGGCTAATAAGTTGCTATAGGTATAAGCATAATAGTATATAATATATTCAAGTGAACACAATTTTCAACAAATTTATGTTTAGTCATTATATCATTAGTTCAGTTTAAATTATGTAATATTTTGCATGTCTGAGTGATGTGTGCAAATAATATTATTTATGATGCATACATCTCGATCCTACACTTATACGCATGCGCCAACGATTTAATGTCAGTTTCATGGGTTGCAATAAATTACGCTCATCCGCTGTGGCTGCCGAGATTTAAAATAAATCTGCAGCATCTTCAGCTTCTTTTAGTTTCAATTATAGCGAAGCGTTGGAAATTATTACAAATTATGCATTAAAACAAAATGAAATTCCAATAACATGACAGAAAATGTTATGAAGTAGACAATTAAGGCGGTATTAGACGACTTTGTGACAGACGAGAAGCTTATTAATTAATATTTAAATATTTATATGTAATCACATTGTGATTAGCTTTTAGGAATATCAATATTTTATTTGTAGGTAAATAGTTTTATTCTAAAAATATTTTTAAAAATTTAATTTAAATTATTTAAATAATAGTAAAGGGTGCTTCAAGATACTGGAAACTTTCGCTTCAAAGTACAAAAAAAAACCGTGAGATATGGAGGACTTAATATAACTCTATTGTAAAAAACGTTCAGTCAAAATCAAAAGGGTATAAACTTTATACTATAAAGCAATTTCTTAACTCAACACTTTTCAGTTCATTAAATATATTTTAATGCCTTATATGTTTTTGTACTGATATAGGTCTAAAAATCAATTTATTTTCATTTTATATTATTTATAAAATATAAATAATATTTGTATTTCGTATTTCGTACATCGAGGTTTTCTTTTTATCATGCACACTTAATCTGCAATCATCATTTGAATCGAGCAATCTCTATCTTCGAGATTTTGATGAATTACGTCGTCTTAATCGTTAAAGGTTGGTCAAAACGAGGCTAGTGACCTAATACATCTCAGCTTCCTTTAAATATTTTGTGCCATTTATAACCCGAACATCATCGGATATTTATATCATCATCTTGTCATGCATGACATAACATATCAGTTCAGCAACGTGAACATGACATCACACTCAAAAGTATAATTGCAAAAACATCTGAGTAACGTATCTTACTTAAATCTTTTATGGTAACATGCTACAATGTTACCAACGTATAGATAAAAATTATTACAGTATTTTTTATATGCGTTTTTCTAATTTAATATTGAGAATATTTATATTGTTTTTTACAAAAATTTCTTCTGAATTTTGTTTTTATTTAGTTTTTAGTGCTGTTAGCTGGCACTTTTTTGTTAATTTCGTTTTTGGTTTTCTAATAATTGCACATTTTACTGCTCTTGAATTATGCTTTAGGTGAATTTTCTTTCACGATTTTAGTGACAATAAGTGCACTTTAACTATGCTTTATTTTAAATTTTATTTGAGCTAAGTAGAGGGAGTTTATATTGAAATTGGTATGATTTAAATATTGAAATTAATATTGTTTTATACAATTGTATTTTTTTGAAAATTAGAAATATCCATTAGTTCAAGTTGTAAATGAACATTGACATTTTTAGTATATGGCTTAAGCACTGTAATGCTTAAGAAAATAATTTTTAGAAAATTATTTTTGTATTACTTGTGATATTATGTTGTATGTAGATAGGTAGTACGTGCCAATACCCTATTGACATCTCTTATGTATAAACTTGTACTAGTCAACGTTATAATATTGCCATGTTAAAGGAATATCGTATAGAATTTATGCATGAAAGTAATGAATCACTTGACCGCCAAGTGATCTTATGACACCACGCACACACACGACACAGAAGTTATAAGAAAAGACAGTAATTGACTGCGAGAACTACCAAGTGTATACGCATACAATACAATATCAGGTTCATCAGATTTCAATGAATCTGTGACAACAGTACTAATGACATGGAAACCAGCCTAAACAGCTGATTGTCACTTTCACAAAACTGATATCTTTGGCAATCTTAAATAAGAGTGACATTATGATTCGAGCAGCGTGGAAAGGAAATAAGGAGCATGTGTTTATATTGGCAAATATACCAGTATTTATTTTGTAAAGAGGTTTTTTCGAACAGTAGTGAACTACAACAACAAAAATTTTATTTTTTTTTTATATTATAATTATTTTTTGAGACTGTAAGTACCAGAATTCGAACTCGGCTCCTGCCAAATGTGAAGCTCAGAATCAGCGCACCTTAACCAACTGATCCAAAGCCGTACTTGACTTTTTTGTTCGCATATTTATCTGGAGTATTTATTTTGTAAAAATCTTTAGGGCAAGATAAAGCTTACAAAAACAGGGTTTGATTTAACCATAAATTTATTTATTGCATTAACCATTACTGTCATATTTAGTAATATTCGACCAATCCAACAAAATCCGTAGATTAAAATTTAGATATATAAACGTCATTATTCATTTTATAGCGACTATTAATAAAGCAACCCTCTAGCCTTCTTAATGAAAAAGTCAAAACGACTTCGAAACGTTAGTAACACTAAACAAAAAATATTAAATGTTATAACTTTTAAAACTAATGTTTTAGTTTTAAATATTTTGTTGACTAAAGCCTATTAAAATTCATTAGTATAAAGAAATTAATTAAAATTCAGAGAAAAATGTATAGTTAACTAATAAGAACTAAAAGTTATTGAGTCTATTTAATACAATTCACAAGGTGTTTTGTTAAACCACGTGACTGACTAGATATAGTTGTGGAGGTACTACATTAATTCCCATGCCTATTTCACACCTATTAATTCTTATGGCAGCAATAGTAATGTAAATAATTATATTATATGATCATAATATTAATTATATAAAAATTTTTTATGTTATTATAATTTATGTTATCCAATTCATTTGAGAATTTTTAATTAGTTACCATAATATTATATATATTATATATGCAGTGGACAATGTACCTCACACAATACAATAAAGCTAAAATATATGAGGTGGTAGGGTAATTTATAATAAAAAAATTATAGTGTGTTTGCACTCTTAATAGCGAAAATTTTGAAGACGTGCATACAGGAATTCGTAACTCAAGCAGCTCCAAAACGAAAATAAGATACAAATTGTAAATAGATACAAATATATGTAGACATAAAGAAACTAGTAAATCCACTAAACGAATGTTTTGCATTTTATTTTTTAATTTTAACGAAGTTTCAGAAAGTTTTTCATTGTTTTAGACTTGTTTTCTCAATTGCCTAAGTGAATAAGTGAAGAAGCCTAAGTTCAAGTTCAGTATAAAGGAAGTATGCACCATGTAACACAATGACGGCGTCTTAAAGGCTGAAAGCTAAATGCAACATTAAGTCTGTGGCGTATGTACCGACTGAAGAAATTTATGGTGAAAAGCGAAGCCCATAATGGAGAGTATTTTGAAACTATTAATCTATCACTCACACATACTGATGTGAATACTTTAAATTTATTGTGGCATTATGTAAATGAGGTAATAATTACTAACAATTTTAAAGTTGTTAAAAAATAGTAGAAGTGCTTATAAATTATTATGTCAATATACATAATAAGCAACTATTAGTTGTTTACTCATATATTTATATAATTAATTAATGTTCGTTGAACTAAATTGACTAAATCTTGTTTCGACGAGTTAAATTATTAATAATTTGAACTAAAAACATGATTTTATATATTTTAATAGAAATAGTTTGTAACATAAATTATTTAGTTTAATCAGTTTTAGTAATACAGACCCATATGAAAAAATATAATGCAAAACGTGGTAGACTACATATTATATGGGTTCCACATTAGTGTTGCGTCATACAAGTTAAATGGTTCAAAACTTATTTTTAGCATTTTAGTTTGAAGACGTCGACAACATAAATCACTTCTACTGTTATCATTCATTATTTGTAAAAATTAGATTGAGATTATTGGGTTATAATGTTCTAAACAAGAACGCGAGTTTTGAAATGCATTAATAAAACTTAAGAAATTGGATTCTATATATTCTATTTTTTTCAGTTTTACTGCTTTTAGATTTGTGCATAATAGTCTGTTGACTTGTTTTACGATCAATTCAAGAATACTAAATGAATTAAAAATCTTTAATTTTCTTTTGTTTTAATTGTTTTTCTTAATGAATTAAATAAAAAGACCAATTAATTAATTAATTAATTAGAATTCTTCATAAAAATTCTAATTCTTTTAGATATTTTATAAAGAAAGTGTTGGTGAAATTATTCTTTAATTACTTTAATGCTGGTACTTTTTAATATTAAATATATTTAAACAAATTCTCTAAACAAATTGTTTCAAAATCTTGATTCTGCGTTTTTAGTACATTGAGTTAATACTTCTTTATTGTTTTTTTTTTTTTATATTTTCACATTTTTGGTGCTGTTAGCTGCACATTCTCTTCTTTAAATATATGAATTTGAGCCAGGTTAACCACTGATTGTCAACATAAATCAAGTATAGGAATTAAATTATGGCGTTTTATACATTACTCCTCTAAGTAGGTATACCGTTTCACTCCATTTTAAATAAAAATCATAAAAATACTCACATGATATTGCAATATAAGTTTCATCATTCTGCGTGAGAAAGGTACTCTGAGAAAATGGGTCAGATAATATATACCTAGATTAAACATATCAATGGAACATAACCACTTTGTCATTATTTTCAATGTAATGCCAAGAATCTAAGACAATAACAAAAATGTAACAACTTTGAAAAGCAAATTTGAAACACACAAAATCAACAATCCAACTCAAACATAGTCAGTCTGACAGACCCATTTATATTGTAATATAAAAATTGATAACCAAATGTCAAAGAGATCTCTATTGAATTACTGATGATCACTAAACAAGATTCTGTTATAAAATCTTAAAATTTAGATAAAAAATGTGAAGATGGATT